CAAGCTGTACTCATAAATGACAATCTGCTCTCCTGTGGGTTGGAAATGACTGGGTAAAATGTCACAATGTACTTGCCTAGCGAACAAGTGCATTAGAAAGTTCAAGGCGCTGCTTACATTTCCCTACATCTTGCAAAGGCTGACATTTCACATGCCCAACTTATGTTGAAGGCATTTGTTGTGACATATGGGCTTCATTCAATGTGCAGTGTTTTGATGATTGGGAAATAATCACAGACAGAAAATATACATTATACAGCTTTTCTTGTGTCGTCTCTTTTAGAGCCTGTGACAAACACTTAACAATAATTCATTGTTCCTGACTGGGGTAAAAAAGAAATTGGTAACAAAGTTAAGCTTAATCTATCTTAATAGTATAAAATCTAAATGGTGTGTCTACGCATTCAATTATGAAAAGTCTATTGCCACCTTCAAATTACTTATGATTGATTGCTGTACGGTCTGCAGGTTGCAGTATGTAGAAGGATGACAAATGTGAGATACTATACATTAGTACTCCAGCTTTAGTTATACACGTTTTTGGGGTGTGCACAGTCCATGGATGTGAAATGCTGGAATGCACTTGTGGTTTTATGTGACACTGAGTGTCCATATAATGACAAAGAGTGATTAGGACAGGGGTGGCTGCATTTGCATGCAGCCTGCCCTAGCTAACACCCACATGTAATGCTGAACCTACATGATTAAAAGAACTGAAATCCAATTAAATGAAAGGGGTAAGCCAGAAACAGTACGGCGCTGGAGGAAAAGGCTACAAAATGCTGGATGGGCTCTATCTGATTTAATTCTAATATGGAAAGTTGGACAGTGTTCACTAATCAGAGTAAGCATTTTTAGTACAGGAGAGAAAACTGTACAAGACTTAAAGGAGTATTATGAGGTGAGTGATTTCCACTCATCCTCATTGTTAGAGCTGACCTGTGACAAAGAAGCTGTCACAGGTTGGCTCTATTTATCAGGAAGTGAGCAAACGCATAGTCTGCACACAGTCTGCTCGCTCACTTTCCGATCATCTCCCTGCAGAGAGTGGTGACTGTCAGTCAACGCTCCCCGAAAGGATTCTCCCTCCAGTCCCCCAGCGATGAGTGGAGGAAGGAACGGGGAGGGGGCGGGCACAGCTGGCTCTGCCTTTTAGATAGGCAAAGCCAGCTGTCACTCACGCAGCTGTGGGAATCTCCACAGTAATGTCTGGATCTGTCCCGGCTGCGGCGCTCTCAGTATATCGCGGGCAGTAGCCTGCGATATACTGAGCTTTGGGTCACAGGAGGAGGTTAGTATCTGTCCTCCCGTGACCCTAAAGCGATCTATGGGGAAAAACACTTACCCCATAGTTCTCTTTTAATGTAAACGATAAGGTTCACACTCTATGGTCGTTTTGAAGCAAACATTGTAATTCTACACTCATCAGAGACTAGTAGGCCAGGCAGGTTCTGCATTGGCTTGTTGTAAAAAAAGGTTTTACAGAGGGAAAGAAGCTTAATGATCAGCTTACATGGTCTTATTTGTATAGTGTGTAGTATCTGGGCCTGAGAGGTGAGGCGAGGCTGTACCCAGGTTTGGGTTTGACTGTATATATAAGAGAAACCTTTTGAGCGGAGCGCCATATTTGATTTTGCCAACTGTCTGATGACACCTCTTACAGCCCACATAGCTTGTACATAATGTAGATTTGCCATTGTTTTTTTACTTAAAAGTGATGGCAGCCATATATAAAAATGATGCAGGTCTCTAAAGTTCTCACACCTTTGTGTCTTATCCAAGATTACCTGCAGTTTCTTCTGTTAGTGTGATCTGTCTTAAAGAAAAAAAAAATAACCATGTTACTAAAGAAATTGAAATAAAATGTTCCGTTACACATAAATAGCAATGTGGCCAGACTACAGCGTGCGCAGCCGTCTTAGCACAGTTCTGTGGAATGAGTGTTTTGCATTGTCCCTATTGTTCTGTACTTAGATTGGGGTTTGAGATGACAGTAACTGGATAGTTGTCTTGTTCAGATCTTTTAGTACTTTAAATAAGTTACCCATATTAGGTCTGATTTTTACAAGCTGTAGAATCCATCAGGATTACTCAGGATAAATGGACCATATATGGGATTATGAAATAAACCGCTAGTAAGCATTGACCACACAGTAACTTGAAGCATGTTGGAAATGATTTGCTGTTTTTGAAGTGTTGTTCCTTTTTTTTTTTTTCCAAGAAGAGAAAGAGGTTTTCATTACATATGCTGCAAAGTGCAAGTTTGGCTGTTGAATGAAAAAAAAGTGCTTAGTGCAGCAGTTATGCTACAAAGGATGAGCTGGTATCTCGGGTATCTTCTTTGCCTTTTACTCTAGGCTTGCCATACACTCTGTGATAATCAGTAAGTGATTGTATGCAGCAAGGGGTCTTGGAGTTGGTTGAAACAGATATCGGGAGAAGGCTTAGTTAAATTAAATCTGCCATGAGAGAAAAGTGTAGGCTTCATTTTCTGTTGTCCTTCTGGATGTATTACCAACTCTCATCCTTTCATAGATAAAGAGGAACTTTACCCATATATTTGAAATGAAAACAAATACACCTTTAGAAATGATTGGTAATGACAATCTACAAACGCATACTTCTAGATAATTGCAGGCTTTTCATTCTTTGCTCCCTTTTCTTCTCACAGCGGCCATTTTTACTAAGGGCATCTCCCTTTACTTCCTGGAACTCTGGCACATGTGACCATGCACATTATCTCAGGGGAGGAAAATGCCTTTCCCTCAGATCTCATGAGATTACAGATGAGATTTCCCAGCAATGCACTGCTGATGTAACCTTCCCAGGATGCAATGCTCGGGAACAATTATATAATTTGTGCCAAAGTGGACCAGGAAGTAGAAAAACCTGTAATTGTAAGTAAAAGAAAACTGTTTATTGTAAGATGATTTCATATCAGCATGCAGAACTGTATGCTGATGTGATTTTTAGTGAAAGGGGGTAAAGGTCTACTGTAAGCCAATGACCCAGGGCAGCTGTGCAGCAACTGAAGTTAAAAATCCAGATTTGCATACAGGTTCTGGCAGTTTGACTCCAAAGATTGCAACCAGAGGTTCAGTATGAGAGCTGGGAAGACTTATGCAGACGCCTCCCCTCACAGTGGCCACAACTTGGGTCACACGAGAGCTTGGGATCAGCAATTTTTATTGATGGCAAGGTTGAGACCTCCACCTAAATGTAACCTGATGTGGTAATGCTGACGTGTGCCCTGTGGAAGCGGATGAAGTTTGAATTGTATTGATAGGCCCACTTGTAGTTTCAACTCTGTTCACTAAATTAGTGTTTGCAAATGTTCAGTTTGTTTATGCATCTCACAACTTGTTGAAATCAGCATTAGTACTGTCTATACTATGATAAAAAAACCTTCTGGAGAATCATTCAGAGTCAGGGTATTTCTGTCAGTTTTGAGATTGCGGCTGCATCCACTGGGACTGATTGTTGAGTGTAGCAGATTACTCTAAACACCTCTCAGGTGGAATGTATTTCAGTTCACAACGTGTGCCATTGGGTCCCTATAGGGAATATTCCTAATAAAGGCACTGTATACAGAGAAATGGTAATAGCTTTGTTTACTTCTTAACAGGCAGCCTTGTATTATTGGCTTTTATTGTGCAATTGGGTTACCATTCTTGTCTGAACATGAACTGTTGAAGGAATAATTAAAGTTAAGCTGCCATAAAGCTCTACTTTAATCATGTTTTTCTTGCTGTAAGGTTAGTTACACATTGGCCATTAGTTGCCAGGCTTCTGCCGCACCTATAGCCACCTCCATCCTGTGGCTTTACTGTGGTTGTGAAAAAGTTCTATCCCTCCCCGGTACTGGAAGATCCTTTGGGCGGTTCACATTGGCTTGCTCATCATTGATTAAAATAATATCACTTACCATATTCCAACCAATTTATTTTTCTATATATCTACCGATTTCTTGATTTTTTTTTTCTTTGTTGCGTACATATCATGACTTATGTGATACATGATTGACTCACTCAGGGTACCATGGTACTGCTTGCTGTGTCTCATAGTCACAGTCAGGTCTACTACGGATTCATTTGATGTGAAACATTGATCTTGATATATCGTCACTTTTGTTCCTCTGCTATTTAATGATCTCTCTTCCCTACTAAGCCCTAAAAGAGAAGTTCCCTATAGGTGCTGGAAATTGAGGAATATGCTGACCCCTTGGTTCTGTATCAGTGTAGAGATTTCCTGACATGCAGTAATCTTAGGACATGAGTGTTGAATGATAAAAGAAGGTTTTATTGTTCCCAAGAAAAATGCCAAGAAAAACCCTAAGTTTGGTTACCTTTACTTAAATTAACCTGAGATTTCCTGACATGCAGTAATCTTAGGACATGAGTGTTGAATGATAAAAGAAGGTTTTATTGTTCCCAAGAAAAATGACCCTAAGTTTGGTTACCTTTACTTAAATTAACAAGTGCAATGCTCATGCTGGGCAAACCAACAGATTTACTTTAATGGTGACCCCAGCAGCAACTTATATTTAATACCTTCTCTTCTATTCCTTGTCCCTCCGTCCAGCCGCTGGTAGCAAAGAGAGTCATTCCTCTCCCCACTATAATAGTGCTGCTGGCCTAAGTGGCCATTTGCCAAGAAACTGATGCTGTCCCATGGTGGGAAGGAGAGCAAGTCTCATGCCCCTATATCTGAGAGTACCAAGTGTTTTTTTCTTCGCTCCCAGCAGCCAAATGTCATAAATTTGTGTTCAAAATGGAAGCCTGAAAACTACAGAGATGAGATGAAAACTAGTGCCTCGGTTAAAAGGTTCAGTGATGATGTACAAGGTGCTGAAAATCAGTTTTCATTTTCCTCAAGTCCTTTTCAGTGAAATTCTGTGAATTACTGTTTTGTGTACATTGATCTTGTGCCAACTAATATAAGGCATGCAAGTTCCAGTTTTTTGCCTTTTTTTTTTCTAATGCTTTTCTATTCTTTTTCAGAGAGGGCAATTGCTCGCCATGAAGTACGGGAAATCGAACAGCGCCACTCCATGGATGGCTCCCGGCAAGAAATAGCTCTTGATGAGGATGATGACATTTTAATTATTTACAACAGGGTTCCTAAGACTGCCAGCACTTCTTTCACAAACATTGCGTATGACCTGTGTGCGAAAAACAAATACCACGTACTTCACATCAACACAACCAAAAATAACCCTGTAATGTCTCTTCAAGACCAGGTAAGAGTACAGTTTGGCCAAGACCTTGAACAGTATATGTTTTGTTTGCCTTTATCCCCACTTTCTCTCTAAATATATGGTATATATGAATTATGAAGCATCCAAATGTAATTGTGACAGGGCATATGTGGACATTCAGTGGTATATATGTTTTTGTACTCTTATCTTTGTAAATGACAGCTGATGTCCCTGTATTGCCTTTGACTGATTTTTTTTTAGACCAATAGCTTATTCAGAGTGCCTTAAAGTCTATGCAACGCCTGGAAATATGCACAGCAACATGATTCTGCAAGCTTGCAAATTTTGTTTTTGGAAGCGCAGTGTTACTGTAGTGGATATATGTCAACAAGCAGTCTACCTGAAATGCAACTATCGGGTTAGTTCTGGTTCAAGTGCTAGGTGTCATATCACTGAACATTTTTGTTGATGGAGTTTGAAATGATTTTTCATGTGTTAAATTTTTTTATTCTGTTGTCTTCAGAGATAATTTAATATGAATTTGCCTAAATACCTGGAGATGTCGCAATGTAAATCAGTGTTATATATTCAGGTATTTACAAGCACAGCAGATGTTATAACATGCCGCTTCCTGAATGTTCTTGGGCCGGTGAGTTTGCCCAAGAAACTTTCTGCACGAGCGCTAGCAAAGGCATTGGCCTATACACATACAGCACAGCAATGAAGTAATAAAATGAACTAGGATCACACTAATCCAGCACGTTATTATTCTGAGTTGCCCCACTCAAGCGGCGGCCATATTGAGTGGGGCATGTGAGATTAATAACGTGCTGTATTAGTTTGATCCTAGTTCATTTTATTACTTCACTGCTGTGCTGTATGTGTATCGGCCAATGTAGTTGAATCTGTATGTGCGTTATAATGAATCGAAATTAATCGATTAAAAAAAGAGTTGATAAATCGAACACAAACATTTTAATCAGTAACAGCCCTAATAAATATATATGTATGTGTGTGTGTGTATATATATATATACATAATGTCATGGCCAAAAATATTGGCACCCCTGCAGTTCTGTCAGATAATGCACCACTTTGCGCAAAAAATTGTTGCAATTACAAATGTTTAGGCATTCTCATGTTTATTTCTTTTGTTTGTATTGGTATGACACAAAAAAAGCGGAGAGAAAAAAATTATTGGCACCTTCTCCTAATTGCAAGAAAAAATTGCATTCCAAGTTTTTGTGGAAAAGTATGGACAATCTCAAGGTTACAAGTCCGTCTCCAGAGATATTAATGTTCCTGTGTCCACTGTGCGCAACCTTGTCAAGGAGTTTACAGCCCATGGCACTGTAGCTAATCTCCCTGGACGCGGACAAAAGAGAACAATTGATCAAAGATTGCTACGAAGGATTGTTCGAATAGTGGATAATGACCCTCGATCAACTTCCAGACAAATTCAAGCTGACTTTCAGGCACAGGGTACAATTGTGTCAGCTCGCACTATATGTCGCCATCTGAATGAAAAGGGACGCTAGGGTAGGAGACCCAGGAGGACCCACTGCTGACACAGAAACATAAAAAAGCTAGATTGGAGTTTGCCAAAAACTTACCCGAGGAAGCCAAAATCCTTTAGGGAGAATGTGCTGTGGACAGATGAAACAACATTACAGATTTTTGGTGAAGCCCATCATTCTACTGTTTTCAGAAAAAAAAATTAGGCCTTTAAAGAAGAAATGCAGTCAAACATGGTGGAGGTTCACTGATGTTTTGGGGTTGCTTTTGCTGCTTCGGGCACTGACTGTCTTGACTGTGTGCATGGCATTATGAAATCTGAAAACTACCAAAGAATTCTGGGGTGCAATGTAGGGCCCAGTGTTAGAATGTAAGGTCTGCGTCAGAGGTCATGCGTCTTACAGCAGGACAATGACCCAAAGCACAAGTCATAAAGCTCCCAGAAATGGTTTCATACAGAGCTCCGGAGAGTACTGGACCACCTGTGGAGAGATCTCAAAACAGCAGTTGGGAAAAGTAACCCTTCCAGTCGGAGAGATCTGGAGCAATTGGCTAAATAAGAGTAGTCCAAAATTCATGTGGAGAGGTGTAAGAAACACATTGATGGTTACAGGAAGCAATTGATTTCAGTTATTTTTTCCAAGGGGTGTGCTACCAAATATTCATTGAAGGTGCCAATAATTTTGTCCAGTCCATTTTTGGAGTTTTGCGTTGAATGTGTCAGATTTGGCTTCTTTTTCTTCTCTACTTTTTTGTGTCATACTAAACATGAGAATGCCTAAACATTTTGTAATTGCAACAATTTTCTGCGCAAAGTGTTGCATTATCTGACAGAAATGCAGGGGTGCCAATATTTTTGTCCATGACATATAATGTTGAGCTTCAGCCGATGCAGCTCCCTTGTCACAATATTGTTCTATGAAAGTTCTTAGTTGCCTTCTTTCCCCCGTGAACCTAACCTAGTTTACTGTCTTTATGTGAAGTCTATAAAAATAAATCCTTGTACCCAGGAACATTCTGGCTCCTGAGACTTACGATCACTTGACTGTGAACCCATCATCCAATCAGATTGTTATCAAAGCTCTCCTCGAGCTCACAGTCTAATCAGAGGCACATACGACATGAAAAAGGCTGTGTTACAATGCGGTATTATCTTTGTAATCAGCCTTTAAAACCTGGTGTTATTATAATAATACTTTTTTCTTTCTCTATGTATAAATCCTAAGCCCATACATATATTTGAAGGAAAAAAATATAGTATAACCTCCCATCGATTAAGTTAGTTAATTAACATTCGTAAAAGCAGCATGGTCTTAATTATTTGCGATGTTTGCAATGTGAAGGTGCCTGTGTTCCTCAGCAGATTTTGTTTTGCTCCAGTAATATGAGAATATCTGCTCAATTGATATGCCAAAGTAGGCAATGTTATTATTTTAAAATGAATCAAACTGTCAGGGTTTTATGCGACAGATACAGTTGTAATACATCATTGTGTCTGGTGCTTCAGGGTTACCAGCAAGACAGTGGAATGCTGGGTAGCAAGAGACTGATCATTTTATTTCCCTCACCGAATTTGCATGTTAGACTTGAATGGATCTCTTCATGTCCTCACAAGCAGGCCCACGAATCTGAACGGTCTATTGCGTTGTGGAAATTGTTAGATATTTTAAGTCTGAAAGATCTGGCTGCTTACCGCTTAAAGAGCATGTACAGTGTTTCCTTTACTATAGTTAGGACTGAATAAAAGTCAAGCTGCTGCAATATGAAAGCCTTACATGACCAGTCATGGTGCCGTTATAAGATGATGACTGCTCAGAAAGGCAGGTAGTCACTTATTTGGACAGGGAATGAGGTTTTGTTGGATTTTCTATGCACAAGCAAGTTGCCCCCGGTGTTGCAATAGTTTTTTTTTAAATTGTAAGCGATCTGCAGACCATGAAGTCAGCAAGTTTGATCCATGTGCAAATACAGGAGGCAAGATTACTAGAGATGGGAAGGGCTGGGCAAAAAACCCCCCCGAGAAATTGGGTTAAAAAAACAGGTTTTTTTCCAAAGCAATTTTAGGTTTTTTCCGGAAAAATTGAAAAAGGAAAAAGAGTGTGAAATATGTTCTTTTACAATCATAAATAATATATCTTTGACATGATATTCAAACTATATAACATGAAGACCTTAAAGGAGAACTATGAAACTGTCACAGGTCGGCTCAGTAGATCGGGAGGTGAGCGAACACATACCGGCGTTTGCTCACCTCTCGATCCTGTCACGGCCCTCTGCCGTGACAGGGGAGGGGCTGGATTCCCCCTGCACAGACACCAGGATTTACATGATTGTGTGATCTCTGAGTCAGTATATCGTTGCAGTGAGTAGATGCTGATCCTGGGTAGTTCCTTAAAGGAGAACTATGAGGTGAGTGCTTTTCACTCACCTCGTAGTTCTAGCCGACCTGTGACAATGAGACTGTCACAGGTCAGCTCAGTAGATCGGGAGGTGAGCGAACACATACCGGCGTTCGCTTACCTCTCGATCCTTTCACGGCTCTCTGCCGTGACAGGGGAGGGGCTGGATTCCCCGATCCACCAGCTACAGCTCGCGGTATACTGAGCCTAGGGTGACGGGAGGACGGTAGTTTGTGTCCTCCCGTTACCGAGAACTATGGGGAAAATACTTAACCCCATAGTTCTCCTTTAATAAAAGATGTCTGAGACTTTTTATGTAAAGTCTTAAATTATTGCACATTCCCTCAGCTGAAGACAAGCAGATCCTACTAGTACTATTTTTTGTATCGGTGCAGATACCGAGTACTCGTACTCGCCCAAATGCTCCGATAATTAGCACGAGTACTTCCTGTATCAGGAATCCGGGCAGCGCATCATTACACGCTGCCCGGTTTCCTGATTGGCCAGGAAACGGCTCCATCACTCTCTCGTCAGTTGTGATGAGAGAGCATGGAGCCGACTTCCCGGCCAATCGGGAAGCCGGGTAGCGTGCAATGACGCTAGTGTGCAAAGCCGGGTCATCAACAATGTGGCAGCGAAGTACAAGATCAGAAGGCAGGATGTAATCAGGGACAGGCAGCGTGGTATCCAGGGAGCAGGCAGGAGAGAGGTCAAAGACAAGCCGAGGTCAAGGAGCAGAGAACAGCAGCAAGGTCAAGCAGGCCGGGTCAGTAGCAGGATATCAAACAGGTACACAGGATTCAGGAACAAGGTAATAGCTGAAGATCAGTCAGCAGGGAGGTCTGGGTGTCTCAGCCTTAAATAGCCCTTTTGGCGCCATCATTAGGAACGGGCGCGCACGCCCATGCAGAGGCACACTGTCGCGCACCGTCCTCTGTGTAGGACGATACGCATGTGCACGTGCATGCACAGGTGCCGGTCCAGCATTCCGGCCACACAAGCTAGCTCTGGCTTCATGACAATTACATTGTATTACAAGCGATTCCTTGTATGTCAACAGCCATTACCGGCTGTTTACATGCATTTACGTGACCCCGCAGGGAAGGATCCGCCCTCTGCCCTTTTTTTT